TCTGGTATGTGTTACTCAGTCGCCATCTTCCCAGAAGTCCCCATTTTTCTAATATAAAATTTAACCCAAAAATCTGGATGCGTTTTGCAGTCCCTTGGTGATTTTTATTATAAATACTCACCATATGGGAGAATGAGATGTTTGACCTATAATTGGTATTTTACTCTTTTAAGAATACAACCAATGTACTTGAAGCATGAATGTAAATAACTTAGTACCTTAGTCCATATGGCGGCAGTTACCTGTTGGGTTGTTACCCACAAAGTCAGCAGTTCGAAAACACCAGCTGCTCCAAGGGAGAAAGACAAGGCTTTCCATTCTTAGGAATAGTTACAGTCTCAGAAATACAGAGGGGAAGTTCGAACTTTGTCCTATAGGTCACTATTTGACTTTATGGCATTGGAGTTTTTGGTTTGTTTTTTTAGTGAGTTTAGTCTGTGTTGGCAATAACAATCTCTCTCATCTGGTTGTTTGTTTGTTTTTTTTTTTTGGCAGAAAATTTTTAATGCTGGAGATGTCAACAAAGATGGGATGCTGGATTTTGAAGAATTTATGAAATATCTTAAAGACCATGAGAAACAAATGAAACTGGCATTTAAGAGTCTGGACAAAAATAATGATGGTGTGTGCTTTTCTTATCTCTATCACCAGCTACAAAGAAGCAGTTTGCGTGCCTCCAAGAGTCTCAGATGATACGTATTTAATCAATCTCTGCTTAGATGATAACGCTTACTTTTTCTAATACTGATTCTTCTTAGTAATGTGAATTTTATTTAGAGTTCATACTTTTTAGTGAAGAAAATTTATAGATGGCTTTGCCTACCAAATTAAAAGGTTCAGGTGGGTTATAATTAGCAGGATTTGCCAAATGAACTTCAAATCATTTTGATCGAAATTATCTCTAAACTAGGATGATACACTCTTCCATTTCAAATGATTCTACTCCATTTCATTCTTCCAAACACAATTACAAGTTAATTGACATTTAGAAAATTTTTCATGCCTACAAAGGATTTGCTTTTGAAAAGTGCCCTAACTAAAGGTGACTGAACCCCCAACCCCCAATCACCAGGTCTTTCTCCCATGAAGCCCCAAAGAAAAATAAGCTACAGATGGGGATTTTTAATAAAACATTAACCACTAAATTTTAGATTGACTTCAAACTTTGCATTAAAAATAATTACTTTTCCTTGCCCTGGTTGAGTAGTGATTATGGGTTAGGCTGTCCTTTGAAAGATCTGCAATTTGAAACCACAGCCGTTCCTCAGGAGAAAGATGGGGCTTTCTACTGCCATAAACAGAAACCCACAGAGCAGTTTTCACACTGTCCGATAGGGTCCCTATGAGGTCGACATGACGGAGACAGTGGTTGAGTGCATGCTCTTTGGACAAGAGAGATTTACTTCTGCCTAAATAAAGGCATGAATAGTATATATTCTAAAATTCAAAATAGCATCTTCCAGATTATTTTATACTTAATGCTAAAAAATAAAATCACTGCCACTGAGTTGCTTACAGCTCACAGCAAGCTTATAGGACAGCGTAGATCGACCCTGTGGGTTTCCAAGTCTATAACTACTTATAGGAGTAGAAAATCTCATCATTCTTTTCCTGGAGTAGCTGGTGGTTTTGAACTGCTGATCTTGTGGTTAGCAGATCAATGTTTAACCACTATGGCACCAGGCTCCCTTTACACTAGATAGAATTATTTTTAAGAAGATACTCTCTATCATTATATATAAATACATACATATGTACATGCCTGTATTTAGACCTATATAAATGTCTTTTGCCTCCTAGTTCTTTCCTCTATTTCCTTTTACTTTCCTCTTGTCCCACTATCATGTTCGGCCTTCATTTGGGTATCAGTAATTCCTTGCAGTTACATTTCCCTTGATTAAACCCCACCAGGCATCCTATGCCCTTCTCTCCATTGATTTTAGTTCACTAGGAAATAGATTTATGTACATATATTTATATGTTAAGTATTGGGATAGCAGATGGACATTGGGCCTCAACTCAAGTACTCCCCCAACATAAGAACACTTTGTTCTAATAATCCGACATTCTGTGATGATCAATTTTCTGACATGATCGCTGAAGACAAAATCGATGCATAAGCAAATGTGGTGAAGAAAGCTGATAGTGTCCAGCTATTAAAAGATACAGCATCTGAAGTCTTAAAGGCTTGAAGATAAACAAGTGGCCATCTAGTTGAGAAGCAACAAAGCCCACATGGAAGAAGCACACCAGCCTGTGTGATCATGAGGTGTCAATGGGATCAGGTATCATGCATCAAAGAAGACCCAGAGCAAAAAAATCATATTAATGTGAATGGGTGAGGGAGTGGAGTGGAGACCCAAAACCCATTTGTAGACAGTTGGACATCCCCATTACAGAAGCGTCACAGGGAAGAGACGAGTCAGTCAGGGTGCCGTTTAGCACTAATGAAACATATAACTTTCCTCTAGTTCTTTAATGCTTCCTTCTCCGCACTATCATGACTTCAATTCTGCCTTACAAATCTGATTAGACTAGAATTTGTACACTGCTACAGATAAGAGCTAGAAACACAGGGAATCCAGGACAGGTAAACCCCTCAGGACCAATAATGAGAGTAGCAATACCAGGAGGGTAAGGAGAAAGTTGGGGGAGAAAGGGGATATTGATCACAATGATCTACCTATAACCTCTTCCTAGGGGGATGGACAACAGAAAAGTGGGTGAAGGGAGGCAGCAGTTGGTGTAAGATGGGGGGGATTATAAATTTAAAAATTATCAGGTGTTCATGAGGGAGGGAGGGTGGGGAAGGTGGAAGTGAGCTGATATCAATGGCTCAAGTAGAAAGAAAATGCTTTGAAAATGATGGCTACATGTGTACAAATGTGCTTGACACAATGGATGCATTTATGGATTTATTATAAGAGCTATAAGAACCCCCAATAAAATGATTTAAAAAAAAAAGAATGAATAGCTATGTGATAAAACTATTAAAAAAATGAAAGAAAAGGTTTATCATGATGTTGTGATATATAGGGAACAGAAATGGGCCCATACTATGTAAGAGAGTAAGGTACTGGCAACATTCTATTGTTTAGCTAGTGGGTGCTATAGTAGTTGAGTTTATAAGTTTTTATTAAATTGTACATTTTTACCTTATGTTTTATATTTCTATTCTGCACTTTAAATGTTTTAAAAATAACACACACATCAATTTAAGTACAACAGGAAAATTTCCAAAAAAAAAAAAAAAGAAGAAGAAATAGTTTGGTCCTGAAAATGACATCTAAGCATCTGAATATGTACATTCTAGCTGGGATTAATATTTCCCCTACTTAGATTAATAGCCAGCAGTCAGAGGTCCAGTTGTATAACAAATACACAAAAGGACCCCTAGGGAGTGTCATGAAGACCTCATCACCGGGGAATGCATTTAAATACATGTAGCCTCTAAATCCCACTCTAGTTAAGGTGTTACAGCCATTCATTCCACTCACAGACATCCTAATTAAGACACAAGTTAAACAAAGTGAGAAGAAATTTGATTTCTATCAGGAATCAGCAACCTTTTCCTATAAAAGGCTAGATAGTCAATATTTTAACTTTATTGGCCATGCATTTGCTATTGCAATACTCATCTCCCCAGTTGTAGTTGATTTAAAAATGTGCAAATGAATGGACATAGCTGTGTTCCAATAAAACTTTATTTACAAAAACAGGCAGTGGGTCTGTTTTGGCTTCGAGATGGTGTTTCCTGGTCTCTGGTTTCTACTGACTATGAACTGTAGTTGGAGTCAAAGCAAGTTTCTTTAAACAAATAACCAAATCCTTTGACTGGCTTTGGTGAGCTTTCCGTGATCCCTCAAGCTGGGAAAGCTGAAACTGTGGTAGAAATTTGTACTATTGGGACACTTGTTGTCTTTGATAAGCTTTCTATTGTTGCCACAGTTAGGTGCCCCTGAGCCCATTTCTGCTCATAGTGACCTCAGGTGTTACAGAGTGGAACGGTGCCATCTGGTTTTCTAGGCTGGGGTCTTGACAAGAGCAGATCTTCAAGTCCTTCTCCCATGAAGCCGCTCATGGCTCTAAAGCACCAGCTTCTTGGCTAGCGGTTGAACACTTTTAACTCGAGAGTCATCGGGTCTCCTCGTTGTTGTTTCTGAGTTGCCTTCAAGTAGGTTCTGACTCAGAGCAACTTCATGCCCAACGAATGAAACCCTGTCCAGTCCTGCGCCATCCTCACAACTGTTCTGCTGTTTGAGTCCATCGATGCAGCCACTCTGTCTGTCCACTTAGAGAGGGCCATCCTCATTTTTGCTTCCCCTCTCCTTTACCAAGCGTGATGTCCTTCTCCAGGAACTGATTTCTCCTGACAATAAGTTCAAAATATGTAAGACAAAGTCTTGTCATCCTTGCCTCTAAGGAACATTCTGGCTGTACTTGCATATAAAATAATCCTGCACCGGCTTGCCAGATGAGGCCATTGAGAATACTATGGCTTGGGTCCGGTGCACTGTAGTCTTCCTATTACACGTCCCCATCTCTAACCTTAGCTTCAGTCTCCTTGCAAGAGCTAGTGCTTAGAAACAAGTTTTTTGCTTCCATACAGACTTGCCTCCCCCCGCGCCCCCCCTCCCAGGCCCTCTATGGTTTGTATCTTTATGGAGTTTGGGTGGACAGGAACTAGGAAGCGGGGCCACTTCAGGACCATCTGCCACATAGTTTGTCAGTCTTCCTCAGCAAAACGCGTGTGCACATTTGTGTCTATTTCAGAAAACTCCAAATGAACAAGAAGAAATAAGTAGAGGATAAATTTTAGTGAAAAAAATGTATAGTAGATGCAACCAACATCCTCTTAATTTATCTTCTTTACGTATTTTAGCACAATTCCCCATTGTGGGCTCATATTTTTATTGATCCTCTTTACTTAAAGCAAAGCATGCATGTCTTGAGTGCCATTCTAATGGAGAATATTTAGAGTTGTGTTTCAAGAATGTCCTGGTTAACAGATGAGTGCCGCTAACTTGGTTCACATTCTCACGCTACTCCTTCCCTTTCCTGAGAAAGAGTCTCTCCAAATCCTGATATTCCTTCAGGTCCTTCTTTTAAATGAAGACTTTCCTTTCACTAAAACCTGGCAATGGTTTTTCATTTCCTGGAGAGCTTTGCCCCTAGTACAGGTTTGTCACCAAACCCTCTCACCTTGTTTTATGTAGGTCAGTTTTAGAATCCCCATAAATCTATGAGTGACTTAAAGGAAATACAATTATTACTTGCGTATGTTTTCTTATAGTTTTTCTCTCTTTGACCTCTGGTTCTTTCTGTCTGCCTGTAAGGTTGTCTGGTCTCCCTTATCCTCTTCCACTGACCTTCTGTCATAGCTCTCGTTGCCAAATTTCTCAGATGAATTGTCCATACTTTTCAGCTCCATGTCCTCATTTGCTACTTCTCCTTAACCCAGTGCAATATGACTTTATAAAATATGTCTATTAATACATGCAAATATCTAGTTAATATGTATTTAAAAAATATATGTTTATTTTTGGAAATTAATAAACCCTAGTTTAATTGAAGTTCCATCAGAGTCAAAGGATCTCGATTGGAATCTTAATTCTGCTGGTGCTTGATCATGTTACTTGATAAGGCCAACTGAAAATCTCTCACTTTTTTTTCTCAAAAGGTTATATTGGTATTTACCTACAAGGTTGCTGTAATTATTAAATGAATAATGTGTGTGTATGTCCCTGTTTGGTGTACTTTTTAACTGCTGACCACTGATGTTGGACTATGTGCCAAAACAAATCCATAACTCACTTAATAACATAATTTTGCCTTCATCGGTTCATCACTTTCTCTTATACAATGAGAGGGTTAAGACCCCTGGCTTTCAGGTCCGTATCAGTTCTGAGTCTGAGTTCGTGCTCTTCTCATCTTTTTAAAGGGAACATTGATGCTTCAGAAATTGTCCAGAGTCTCCAGACACTGGGTGTAACTATTTCTGAAAAGCAAGCAGAGTTGATTCTTCAAAGGTAAGAGTGTCATTGTACTGACAGTTGTCTTGTGATTTTGGTTGTCATGTCTTGCATTTGAGATGAATGTTTGTAACTGTGGCTTCAAAACAGCTCCCTACAGCTCACAGTTCCCCAATGTGTCCATCCACCAGCTTTCTTTCTTTCTTCCTCTCCATTTTCTATGTGCACGTGCATCAAGTGTGTGGTTGTTCCTGAGTGTCTTCGAGTTCATTTTGCCTCATAGCGACCTTAAGTAACAGAATAGAGCTTCTCAGCAGAGTGTCCTAGGCTGTAATCTTTATAGAAGGAGATCTGGGGGCACAGTGGGTAGTTAGGGTTGACTAGAGAAACAAATCCAGGGACACTCATATATGTATAAGAAAGAGCTTTATATCAAACAGTAATCATATATTAAGGAAACATCCCAGCCCAGTACAGATCAAATTCATAGGTCCGACAGTAGCCCATATGTCTGATACCAGTCTATAAATTCCTCTTCAGACTCACGCAGCATATGCAATGATACTGAATGCAGTGAGATCACAGGCCAATGGTGGAGCCAGTGTCAGTGGAAGAATCTCAGTCCTGGTGTGGGTCTCCACATGGCTCCTCCAGCTTCAGGGCTCTAGCTGTCATCCACGTGGCTCCATATAGCTTGTCAGCTGGAATGTGAAGGAGAGAGAGAGAGAGAGAGAGAGAAAACGTCCTGCCTCTAGGAAGGAAGAGAGGAAAAAAAACCTCCAGAATCCTCATGAAAAGGCCATGCCTACAAAGAGGCATCAATCAGGCTGTGACCTGATTGACAGGCTAGACTCCACCCTTATAACCTATTTAATGAGTTGGCATGAAATTAGATAATTACTATAGTGGGTTATATATTGAGCTGCTGATCACCAGGTCAGTAATTCCAATCCATCAGCCAAGGAATGTGAATCCAAGAGTCCTTTTGAAGGGGCAAAGATAAGACTTTCTGCACCCATAAAGATTCCTAGCCTTCTACACTGTTCAGACTAAGTTAGGAGGAATTAGCCACTGAAAACCATATGTAAAACTTGGAAACATTGCTAGATACTGAAGGATTCATAAATGGAAGCAGAACACTGCGAGAAATAGTGCTATAGTATGATCTCTGAGGTTAGAAGTCCCTCAGAATATGACCGAGGAAGAGCTGTCTTCTTAAAAGCAATGAAGAGGAATGCCGTTGCATTCATTGTCAAAATAAACATTTCAAGATATATCCTAAAGTACAGTGTTGTCTGTGATGGGCTCATATCTATTCTCATTTAAGGAAATCCAATCATTACAACTATTATTTAAACTTATGCACCAACCACTAAAGCTAGTGGTGAAGAAATTAAAGGACTCTACCAGAATCTTCAGTCTGAAGTTGATCAAATTATCAAGATGCATTGATAATTATTGGTGGTCAGAATGTAAAAACTTGAAACAAAGAGGAAGGAGCAGTATTTGCAAAATATGGTCTTGGTGACAGGAACTAAGCTTGAGATCTCAAGAAAGAATTTTGCAAGACTGACAACTTGTTCATAGCAAAGGTTTTCAACAACAGAAGAGGTGACTATATACATGCACATTTTCAGTTGGAATTAAAAAAAAATCAAATTCGTTATCTGTGGAAACCAGGCCAGGGGCTGGCTGTGGAACAGACCACCAATTGCTCACATGTAATTTCAGGTTGAAGCTGAAGCAAATTTAGTTAAGTTCATGAGAGCAAAAATATGATCTTGAGTATACCCCACCTGGATTTGGAGAGCATCTCAAGAACAAATTTGGTGCATTGAGCATTAATGGCAGAAGACCTGAGGAGCGGTGGGATGACATCATGAACATGTCCAAGAACTGAGCCGAAAGTTTCAAAGAGCAGCTTGAGAAGACAAAGTGACCTATTATAATGGAATGTACAAAGACCCAGAGTTAGGAAACCACAAAGGAAGAAGACACTCAGAACACCTTAAACTTAAAAATAAACCAAACCTGAAGTAAAACAGTTAAGCCTGCCTTGCAATATTGGAATTTTCTATAGGCAAAATATTGAATGCTGCAGGAAGCATCAAAAGACAGTGGAAAGAATACACAGATTCACTGTACCAAAAAGAACTAGTAGACATTCCACCATTTCAGGTGGTAGAATTTGAGCAAGAACCAATTGTGCTAAAGGAAGAAGTTCAAGAGGGGCTAAATGCATTAGCCAAAAATCAGGCTCCTGGAATTGGTGGAATAGCAACTGAAATGTTTCAACAATCTGATGAAACACTGGAAGCACTCACTCATCTATGCCAGGGAATTTGGAAGACAGCTACTTGGCAAACTCTCTGGAAGAGATCCATATTTGTGCTAATTCCAAAGAAAGGTGACCCAACAGAATGACATCACATACCAGAAAATTCTTGCTGAATATCATTCAAAAAAGGTTGCAGCAGTACATTGACAGGGAGCTGCCAAAAATTCAGAGCAGATTCAGAAGAGGACATGGAACAAGGGATATCATTGTTGATGTCACAGAGAATATCAGAAAAGTATTTACTTGTGGCTTAATAGACTCTGGATAACTTTGAGAAGAATGGGAACTCCTGAGCACTTCATTGTGATCACGCAGAACTTGTACATGAATCAACAGGCAGTTATGCAAACAGAACAAAGGTATGCTGCTTGGTTTAAAACAAGGAATGGGGGGGGGGCGGAAGGAAAGCTAAGCAAATAATTAGAGAAGGTGGCTAATCTGAAGAGGAATGCAGTGGCAGGATTGGAGGAAGGTGCGGATAACACAACCTTGCTTGCTGAAAGTGAGGAGGACTTGAAGCACTTGCTGATGAAGATCAAGGATTGCAGCCTTTCATATAGATTACAACTCAATATAAAGAACATCAAAATCCTCCTAACTGTATCAATTGCTAACATCATGATAAAAGGAGAAAAGGTTGACATCATCAAGAATTTTGTCTTATTCGGATGCACAATCAATGCTCTCGGAAGCTGCACAAAACCTCTTTAACGTGTTGAAAAACAAGGGTATTGCCTGACCCTAGGCATGGAATTTCAATGGCCTCATATGCACGTGAAAGTTGAACAGTGAATAAGCAAGACCAGAGGACTTAATGCATTGGGATGAAGGTCCTGGTGAGGAATGTTGAAAGGACCACCCACTGCCAGAAGAGTCACCAGATCTGCCTTGCAAGAAGTACAGCCAGAATGCTCCTTAGATGCAAGGACGGCTAGTCATGTGTTTCGCACATGCTGTCAGGAGAGACCAGTCACTGGAGAAGGACATCCTGCGTGGTCGACTAGAGGAGCAGAAAAAGGAGGAAGGCCCCTGACAAGATGGATCGACACAGAGGCTACGACGATGGGCTCAAACATAAGAACAATTGTGAGGACGGCACAGGAGCTGGCCGGGTTTCATTCTGTTGTACACAGGGTCACTGTGCATCGGGACTGACTGGATGGCACCTGACTACAACAACAACTCTACTCTATAGGGTCTCTATGAGTTGGAATGTGTTTAACGGCAGCGGGTTTGTTTTATTGGTTTAATCTTTACAGGAGCATATTGCTAGGTCTTTTTTCCTGCAGAGCTGCTGGGTGGGTTTGAACTGTTGACTTTCATTCTCTGTTGAGTACTTAACCATTAATGCCACCAGGACTCTTTTATTAAAGTGTAGGAATGGGAAATGTATGTTCATATAGGATGCTTTCTTGTTGGGTTATAAGGAGGGGTGGGATGGCAATAGGCATTCAGTACATATGTCGGTAAGGAGTTAAGAGTTTGGCATTGCCCTTTCCTCTTCATTTGGTTTTGAATGGGACAGTAGAACACATTGTTTCAGGATAAGGAGTCTGGTAGATTCATCACATTATTTCACCTGCATGCCTGACTAGTTAGGAGGGCAATTCCTGAGCTCTTGGGCTAACAGATAAGTAATTTGAACTTCATTGCCCTGGGCAATCCATCAATATATATTAAGTGAAGCAGACCTTTATATATTTATGGTTGCATTACACTTTTCTTTTACCGGATACAGCAATAATCTCTGAAGTTCAGGTGCCTTGAAACAATTCCTTTGCTAAAAGACTACAGGGACCAATTTTTATGAAACTAAAACAAAAAATGTGCGCAGTTATATTAGTATTCTCGTGAATGTTTTCTTCTAAAAAGCTTGAATGGCTGTGCTGTTTTATCTCTTTTTGTATCTGTTTTAGGAAGCCCTGGTAGGGCAGTGGGGAAAGCACTCTAACTGTAAGCTGAGACAGTCTGCTTCTGTAAGGCATTACAGCCTTCGAAACCCAGGGGGTGGTCCACTCTGTTCTGGAAGGTCTCTATGACTTGTGTTAGCCCTGGATGAGAAAGGTTTCCTGAGGAAATGAACGGCTAAAACATGAAAGGAGATAAACACATTCTGACAGTGGGATTTGGAACATGTGATATTCTGCTTGTGCAGTCATGATCTTTCTATAAAGTGTGAAAGATTTTGTGTACAGTGAACCCTCGTTTATCGCGGTTAATCGGTTCTAGACCCTACCGTGATAAATGAAATTCCGCGAAGTAGGATTCCTTATTTGTAAATCAAATATTTTCATAGTTAGAGCATAGAGGACATGCAAAAACACCCTTTAGTCACCATTACATTCGTATTACCCAATTTATTAAACGAAAAAGGGAAAATACAGTAAAACATTTTGGACGTTACAATTATCATTTATTATTTATTATATTATTTATGGCATCAAGCATGTACAGTATGAGCCAATCAGTGGCAGTAATGACAGAGCATGCGCTGTTACGCAAAAACCGCGATAGAGTGAAGACGCGGAAGTCGAAGCGCGAAGTGGCGAGGGTTCACTGTAATTCTAAAGCATAAATCATATTCCTATATAACTTTAGACAAAAAGCAAATCCCAAGCTGAAATGTAGTGATATACCATGCGATAGAAGTTTAAAAGTTGCTACACACACACACACACACACACACACACACACTTTATACTTGTATTGTGATATAATT